TAAAGCTTGACACTGTTCAGCTTCTCATATTCTAGTGATCATATCATCGATCACTTCCTCAGCTCAAGTCTTGTGTATCCAATTCTTGAGTATGACCTTTGTCACTTCTTCATCCTTCACATTCTTGATGGCTCACCAAGTCTATTTGGTCTCAAATGACTTTAGTCAGCTAATGGGGTTCTCTACTCCTGTTCGGCTCATAGATGATTGAGTCTGTTTTGGATGTTTAGCTTGGCAAACTGTTGATGATGACACACCTTGAGGCTCTCTGCCCCTCTTCAGCCCTTTATCAGCATTTGAGTTGTTGAGGTTGGTTCCTTAGGCAATTCATATTCATAAGTGATAAGGTTGAGTATATTTGAATGCATGCATAATTTAAGCATAGAAGGTACTACAGAGAAAGAATTGTCAGTCTGTCTATATTAGGCTCAAGCTGCACATGATCAACTAGCACATGATCAACTAGTGTGGCTTCATGTTTGAGCCTTCCATTAGAGTTTACTTGTATATACTAGTGTTGATTCTCTGTGCTTCAAGGCTTTGTGTGACTAGCTCAAGAGTAAAATGAGATAGAATAAACTTTAGCTTGAAGCTGGAGTTTTCCAGCAAGAGTGAGCCTCTTAAATACTATACAAGTTCTGTGCTAAATATATTGTTACTAATTGTATATTGTTGAGTCCTTTGTGCTCATTGTCTTTGAGCATCATTACTATACATAAAAGAACAATTGTGCATCATTGGACAATGCTGCTATATTAAAAGACAATGACTGATTTAGCTATTGTGATGACCAAGCTTTATCTTATGGTCTTAAGTGCCTGTGTTTAGCATTCTGACTAAGCATAAATAGAGGTTAATCAGGAAAGAAAATGGAAAAATCATAACATTACCCCCTCCTTAAGACCATCATCCCAATGGCTTAATTTAAGAATAGTTCATACTTGTATATGATATTATTGGCATTCATCTGTTTTTTATTGACCTATTGATTGGACTCTGGTCTATACCCTTTCCAGCTGACAAGATAGTCAATCATTGTCATTGAGCCCTCTCCCTTTTGTATGGACTTTATGCAGTCTATAGTGCAATATCTGGTTGACTTTATAGTGTTTGTTATTGTCAATGAGATCTGGAGGTGGAGATGGCTGGTGTTTTTGGTTTGGGAATGCTGGTGTGATGTATAGGGTGAAGAGTGCTTCGTTGAATATATCATGGATTTTCCATGTGGCAGATAGTTTGAGTCTGTATGCAGAGTCCCCAATCTTTTTCAGAATGGGGAATAGACCAGTGTGCTTGTCACTGAGCTTACATTTGGAACATAGAAGGTGCAAATTGGTGGTATTCAACCAGATCTTGTCATTGACAGAGTATGTGTATGCAGCATAGCAATGCTTGTCATATTGCTATGTCATTATAGCTGCAGCCTGTTCAAGTGCCATTTTGGTTTCTGCATGAATTTTTGTCATAGTAGTAGCAAAATCAGTTGATGAGAGAGTCATAGTGTGATGTCATTTGGTTTGGGTGATATTTGGGTGTTGGCCATAGTTTACAAAGAATGGGGTCTTCCCTATTGTGGAGTGTACTCAGTTGTTGTGTTGGAATGTGGCAAGAGCTAGCCATTTGACCCAATTGTCTTGTCAGTAGTTTATAAAGAGTCTGAGGTATTTTTCCACTTCTTGGTTTGCTCGTTCTGTTTGGCCATCGGTTTGTGGGTGGTATGCAGTTGATGCATTCCTTTTGATGTTTAAGAGACAATATAGATCATTCAGGAACTTGGAGACAAATTGCAGTCCTCTGTCAGAGATGACCACTTGTAGCATACTGTATTTGGCATATACCTCATTGCATAAGATCTTTGCCCACCCTTCAGAGGTCAATTCTGTTGAGCAGGCAATAAGGATGATCACCTTCAAAAATCGGTCAACTATGACAATGATTGCATCATAGCTATTACAGTCTGATAAACCAGTGATCATGTTGATGGAGATATGGGTCCATGGAGATGATAGGACTTCATTTGGATGGAGCAGCATGGCTTGGGCCTGAGTTGAGGATTTGCCTCTTTGACAGACTTCACATGCTTTGACATATGCAGTGATGTCATTGTTCATTCTTGGCCACCAGTATTCCTGCAGTACTAGTTCTTTGGTTTTGGCAATGCTGGGGTGACCAGCAGTCACATGGTCATGGCAGGTGATGATGATTTTGCCATGTAATCTCTGATCTCAGGGAATATAGATCCACCCATCATAATGGATGAGTCTCTCTTCCTTTGTTATTCCTCATTCATGGTTGAGAGATAGAGCTATCTATTAGTCCCATTTGTGACTGTCTTGGGTTATACTCTTGATGCACTCATGGATTTCTTCCTCTGTCAGCATTATCATGGCCCAGAAATGTTCAGATCACAATAATATGATGCCATCATTGTCAGTTCCTCCTTGATCATGATCTGTCCTCTAACTAAGTAGGTCTGCCTTTTTGTTTGCAGTTTCTGCTTTGTGATAGAGAGTGTATTGGTATTGACCGAGTTTGGTGACCCATCTGGCTTAGTGACAGTTAAGCTTCTGAGGCTGTTGAAAATAGCAAAGGTTCTGATGATCTGTTCAGATCTCAAAAACTTCTGTGGCCCTGATCAGATAGTGCTGCCACTCTTCCAGGGTGAGCATGATGGTAAGTAATTTCTTGTTGTAGATTTTGTAGTTCTGCTCTATGACAGTAAGTGCTTTAGATAGGAATGCAACTGAGTGCCACTTTCTGTCCTGTTCTTGAGAAAGTATGGCCCTGATTGCATCTTCACTAGAGTCAGCTTTGACTTGGAATCTCCCTTCTTGAATCAAGATGGCAAGAATGATGTCCTCAGCTAGCTGTCACTTTAAGTCATTGAAGATGTCTTGTTGGCAGGGTCTCCAGGTCCAGGGAGCATTGCTAGTCTGCTGTATCATTGGTTGAACTATCTTGCTGTAGTCTCGGATGAAGCATCAGTAGAAGTTTGTGAATCTGAGGAACAACTGTGATTCCTTCTTCTTAGCTGATTCTGGCCACTCTGTCACCCCTACTACCTTGATGGGGTCCATCCAGATACTTCCTTCACTGATAATAACTCTGAGGTATTTGATCTCAAGTACCTCGAACTCACACTTTTCTGCCTTGAGGAATAATTTGTGTTTCCTCATAAGAGCTAGAACCTGTTGTATTAGCCTCCTGTGCTCCTTCTTGGTTTTGGACATGATTAGGATATCATTGAGGTAGAAAGTAACTTTTCCAGTGGTGATGAGGTCCTTAAAAATATCATTCATCATCTATTAGAAAGTTGTTGGGGAATTAGTTAAGCCAAAGAACATAACCATCAGCTTGAATAACCTCTGATTCATCCTGAATGCAGCCTTCCATTCATCCTCTTCTTTGATTCAGATGTTGTTGTATCTCTATCGGACATCAAGCTTGGTGTAATACTTGGCCCCTCAGAGCTTGTCCATGAGCTCTGAGATGAAAGGGAGAGGATAATGATTTTTGATCATCATTTTGTTAAGCTTTCAATAGTCTTAGACTGGTCAAAGCTTACCATTCTTTTTTTTGATGAAGAAGAATGGAGAGGCCATCAGAGATTTTGATGGCTGAATTTGCTTGCTGGACAAGTTTTCTTTCAGAAACTTGTTAAGTTCCTGTTGCTCATTATTGTCAAGAGGGTAGGTTTTGCAATCCAAGTTGGCATTTGCATTTAGGATCAGTTTGATCTCATGATCCTATAGTTTCAGCTCTGGTAATTCATTGAAACTTTCCTTCTTGAATAGATCTCTAAAGTCTCAGACCCATTCAGATACCATTTCCTCAATGGTTCTTTCCCCCTTTCCTTCGTTCACTTTAGCTGCTAGGTTGTTGGCATGATGAACAGCTTGGATGTGTGCTTCTCATTATAGGTCAATGGCGAGTATGGTTTCTCTATCCTCTATTTTCTCATCCCACTGGTCTTCTGAGTCTTCATCCAGTAACTCAAATGGAATCTTTCAGCAACAGCACCTTGCAAATGTGATTCTTTCAGTCTTCTAGTTGATCAGCAGATTATGATGTATTAGCCAGTCATGACCAAGAAAAACTTCCTTGGTCCTGAGGTCTGTTACAGCTAAGTCAATCCATTCAGAATGATCTCTGATTGTGAGCCTAAGCTTAACAAAGTCAGTAATTGAACTGGCCTGATTTTTTGTCCTATCTGCATTATAGACCAGAATCGGTGCTGCTGTGGCTTGGATTGAGAGTTTGTGCTTGTCAACAAAGACATGATTGATTGAACTTCCTATGCAGCCACTGTCAATCAGAGCCATCATAGTGTAAGTTGTTCGGGATGTAAGAGTTTCAATCTGGGCTTTGATGAGTAGGTCTCACCTAGGTGTCTTGAACCACCAGATGAATTTGCATGGTCCATAGAGTTCATTGAGCCACTCCAGGGCTCAGCATCACATGGCTTCTTTTATTTCTTTAATCACTTCACTTATAACTTCTTTGGCCTGAGTTTTATGTACTCAATTGTTAAGTACCACCTTCACTGTGTTTTCATCCTTGGCTTCCCTGATGGCCCTTCAGGTCCACTCAGTATCAAATGGTCTGAGCCAGAAAGTGAGGCTCTCTGCTCCTGTTTGGCCTGTAGGTGCTTGAGTTCTTTCCTTATGCAATTCCTTGGTGTGTATAGAAGGTCTGAGTATATTTGAATGTGTGGGTATGGTAGGCATAGGTGTAGCTACAGAAATACTTTTAGTCTGTTCAATGGCTGGAGTTTGCACACTATAAAGTCCTTTGGCCGGTTCAGTGGAATTGCTCATTAACTAGCTGTGTCTTTTACCTCCTTCACTTTAGTTTCTGTGCTGAGTTTTTCTTCTTCCTTCTGTAAGTCAGCAATCTGCACCCTGATATCTTCTCAGGTTCTTTTCTTTTTTGGACAGTCTTTTGCTATATGGCCTTTCTGCCTGCAGTTGAAACACTTTTCTTCTTTTTTCATATGGTCTATGTCTATCGGCTTTTTTAATCTAGTGTATGTTGTTCCTGTTCTAGTCTTCTGACTCTCATAGGCAGAGGCTGTTGAGAGTCCCAATGATTTTCTGGCAGTTGGCCCTATCTTGTTTGAGGTTGGTGAGGTTGGCTTCTTCATATATTCTTGAAGTGTTGATGACTCTGCTTTCTGCCTTTATTGCTTCTTGTACATCTCAATGATCCTCTCCTTCCATTTGTCATATCCTACCAGCATCAATGCTCTGATACCGATCATAGAGATCATGGTGATGTATGAGGAGGGAACACCTCTTTTAAGGGCTTCGACTATTCATCCATCGTTTGCTATATCATCCTGAATCCTGGCGAGCTTAGCAAGTTGTTTCAGCTTGTTGAAGTAGTCAGTTATGGCCTTGTCTCTCATCTTATACTCTTTAATCCTCTGTTTATGTATCTCCTGTACAGCTGGATCAATGAATTTGTTGTTCAATATCTGTTTGAACACTGGTCAGGAAGGATATCAATAGTGTTGTCACAAGGTGGAAAAGAAGATTGGAAAAATGAGTGTCCATTATGTTTTAGCCTTGTCCTCTAGATAAGAGAAGGCAAAGACTACTTTATTCATATTGGTTCCAAGGTATACAATGTAAACCTTGAAATACTGTTCACAGTTGATAAGAAACCAGTCAATATCATCAGAGATGCTCTTAAAGAGGTAGGGTTTCCACAATAGATCAGATTGACAGTTCATTATAGCAGCATTTTTTGGTAATAGCCCCATTGGGTTGGGCTATTCATCAAATGATGGCCAATTCCATATGGTGGGTGGCCCTGAGAAGGAGTAAAGAGAATGGTCATTAGCAACTGGGCTCCCTTTTGAGGCAGTATCTCTTCAAACAATTACCCCATCTCATATGGTAAATTCAAGACAGATGGTCTTGGAGTTATCTCATATTAGTTTCTTTCTCATTCCATTTGCCTCCACTTCATTGCCCACTGAGGAGTCAACTTTCACTTCCAGTCCAAGAGTTTTGGAATTTTTTGCACCATGGTGCTAAAGGATTCAGCTGATATCAGGTCCTGATGAGCCAAGTTGCTGTACTTCATATTGATGAATTTGATGTCTCAGCCTTGCTGTGAATAGATGATGCCATGTAGATAGCTTATTTTGGTGGGATAGATAGAGAGTTTAGCATTAGTTGTGGCTGGTCTTTCAGTTGATAAGAAGGTATTGGCTTGAAGGGATCCTTTAAATGCTATCAGCCATACTCTTCTCAAGCATACTTTGTTGCAGTATACTGTAAAATATCTCATTTTTCAGTACTGTTTGCATATTTATACTTTAGTCCTAAGGGTGTGGCCCACCAGCAAGCATCTCTCTATAAAAAGAGTATTCCTTGCTCATATAGTCCTTGGTATTCCTCTCCTCTTGCCTGTTCTATCTCTTCTCTCAATGCTTTTTCATCAGTTTTCTTGGCAGCATATTCCATGAATTGTTTGAGTCTGAAAGGGCCCTCACTATCCTCCTCATCACCCTCATCTCTACTGTCCTCTTTCTTGAGGAGGAAACCAACAGGTGGGTCATAGATAGATGGCATGGTTAGTCTGAGGGTTGCTGGAGAGCTCATCATTGATCCTGGTGCTGAGCCTGGCAGTATTTGGGTCAGACCCAGAGGCTGTATGCTGGATGGGGGGATTCTGGAGCCAGCTGTATCATGTACCACTGTGCACTCTTTCCTCCTCCAGTTCTCAGCTATAGAGACTGAAGTTTCATTGGAACCCAGAATCAAGGAACTGATAGATGACTCTACTTCCCAGAAATCAGTGGAGGGCTCAGTCAGAGACATGGGCATTGTTAGGTACCCAGAGCCTATAGGCTCTAAGGACAGAGTTGGCATTGGAGGAAATGGTATCAGTTCTGGTGGGATACTGAGGGGAAGGAGGATGATTATCCATCCTAGTAGCCCAGTCTCTTTGGATTGTTTCATCTCAATCAATGATGCTGGCCGATCCTGCCCATAGGTCAGTTTCTGAGTTGAACTCCCTGAAGAGAGATCCTGAGAAGTTGGTATGAAGACCATACCAGCCAGAAGAGACTGATCCCAGTCTGGTGGCCTCCTCCTATCATCATCATTGTCATTCTTATCTGTTGTATTCTGCTTCTTCAAACTCTCACTGGGCTTCTGCTTGGACATACTTGGTGAGCTCTTTCTGAGCTCGCTAGACCTCCATTTGTCAGTTCTGGTTCTGCTGCTACTGCTGTACTGCTTTGTTGTAATTAAAGGGGACCTGGAGATCTCAGTCCAGAAAGACTTATTATATAATTCTATCCTAGGAAATCCTTTCTGTTGCACTGGCTGTTCCTGCCTCTGGCTGACTTCTGATATTAAGATGGTTATGGGAGTCCTCTGCTGCAGTGATAGCAAGTCCCACATTTATGAAATCCTGGTGGATGCTCCTTCTGTAGGAGTTGTTGAGCCTCAGCCTACTGATGGATGGGCTTGACTCAGAGATAACAGGGAGGGAATGGTAGAGGGAGTTGGGGGTTGTCTGAGATCTTGAAGCCACCCAAGTGGCATCAAAAGAGTCTCAAGCATGGTTTCCAATCACCAGAATATTAGGAGAGATGGAATAGCTGGGGGCAGAGACATCTGAGGGGATGTCACTGGTGACCTCTTCAGACTCCTGGATGATGTTTATTGTCCAAGGATTCTAGAATCCTGTGAGGACAGGATTGCAATCTCTGCTGGGTCATTGAGGGGAGTGTTGAGGTCCTTTCTCTTCCTGAAGGCTCCTTGAATATGGGTTGCTATATCTAGTTTCTGATATAGATTGCCCTTGCAGCTGGAAGGATGTTCTGACAGAGGCAGAGATGTTATGGAATGGTAGGTCTGAGGTTACATTTTGAAGGATGGTGCAGATCTGTTGGAATGCCTGATAGTGTCTGATTATCCAAGTGGTTACTGATTGTCATCCACAGCAAAGGGTGATGATGGCTAAAAGCCCTAGTAGTGTTTCAATGATAGAAGCTATCAGTTCAAAGAAGTTGTGATTAAGGTTGGCAGTAGTGGTTGGTGGCATTCAGTTTCTCAGCACAATTAGGCTTGAGAAAGGAAAGGTGAAGCTTTGAGCTAATTGTTAGGCTCAAGCCATATGTGATTAACTAGCATATGATAAACTAGCATGGCTTTGTGTTTAAGCCTTTCATTAGAGTTCACTTGTGTGTACCAGTGTTGATTCCCTATGCTTCAAGGCTTTGTGTGACTAGCTTGAGAGTAGAATGAGATAGAATAAACTTTAGCTCAAAGCTGGAGTTTTCCAGCAAGAGTGAGCCTCTTAAATACTATACAAGTTCTGTGCTAAATATATTGTTACTAATTGTATGTTGTCGAGTCCTTTGTGCTCATTGTCCTTGAGCATTGTTACCATACATAAAAGAATGATTGTGCATCATCAGGCAATGCTGCTGTGTCAAAAGATAATGACTGACTTGGCCATTGTGATGACCAAGTCTTATCTCACAGTCTTAAGCACCTGTGTTTAGCACTCTGATTAAGCATAAATAGGAGTTAATCAGGAAAGAAAATAGAAAAATTGTAACAGTCTAGCAGTCTGTAATCTATTACTTGTGTTCTTGGCTGAGTTAGTAGAATCGCTCACTGCTTGGCCTTATCTTTTACCTCCTCAGCCTTATCATTCTGGCCAAGATCTTGCTTCTCCTTTATTAATTCAGCAATTTGTGCCCAGATGTCTTTCTGGGTGCACTTGTTCCTCTTCTGTAGACAGTTTCATGCTATATGGCTCTTTTGGCTACAATTGAAGCATTTCCTCTCCTTCTTGAGGTGATCCACATTCATTGGCTTATCCATTCCAGTACATATTATGCCTGTATTAGTTTGCTTTTTGCCATATTGAGAAGTTGGGGTTGAGCCACTAGACCTAGAGAATATGGTCAGATAGGAGGTGGAGGACTTTGAGCCCTGTCCCTGGTTCCTGTGTCTATCCTATAACAGGATAGATGACTCTGCCTTCTGCTGCTATTGTTCTCACCACATAATAATGATTCTAGTCTTCCACTCATCATAGCTGACCAGAATGCTATGTCTGAGGTCCGAGATGGTCCTGAGATAAGAGGGCGGTAATCTCCTCTTTATATATTTGACTATTCATTCCATGTTGGTCATGTCTTCTTGTACTCTGATAAGTTTACTGAGTCATTCCAGCTTGTCGAAGTAGTTGGAGGCCACTTTGTCACCTATCTTATAGTCCTTCATCTTCTGTTTATAGACTTCCTGGATGGCTGGATCTGTGAATTTATCATAGATCATTTGTTTGAATACTGGCTATGAGGGGTATTGATGGTATTGCCATGTGGTTGACCAGAACATGGAGGCCAGAAGGATTCACCATGTTTTTGCCTTGTCTTCCAAGTAGGTTGAGGCATATGTCACCTTGTATATGTTGAGTAAAAAGTATGAGATAAATACCTAGAAGTATTGATCACAGTCTATAAAGAATTGATCAATATTGTCAGATACCCTCTTGAAGGGGAGAGGGTCATATACAAGAATCAGTTTGATGTTCAAAATTTGTACTTTGGGATTGAGAGAGGGTGTCAGATTTAGGAGTCTGCCCTCTGATGAGTCTGACCACCCTGATGGCAGGCTGAAAAATGAATGAAGAGATCTATCATCAGCAATAGGACTTCCTGATGAGGAAGATTCCTTTTGCACAATACATCTGTTCTGAATGATCCAACCTTAGACTATAGCTATAAGATCATTCTCTTCAGGAGCCTCTGGTGCCACAGAGATTGCTCCACTGTCTTTGGCTTTGTCAAATGGTGGTTGTCTGGCAAATGGTTGTGGCATTGGCATCCTCTATGGGTTCAGATAGTGGCTATTCAGCTGTGGTCGATAATAGCTCAGCTGAGATGCCATACTGCAGACAGCTAACATGGCAAATGAGTATCTTGATAATGCTGTTCAGATTGACAGCATTATGTATGCTGATTTGAATGGCATCACACTTGGCATCCATGGCTTGGGTGCCATTCTTCTGTCATACTTTGACTTGTATGGTGGTAGCAGTCCCATCTGATAATATAAATATCTTTGATTAAAGTTAAAAATAGCCTGCTCAATGGCTGCATATTGCAAAATCTCCTCCTGCTCAAGTGAATCAGCAGAGATATATCTTTGTCCTAAGGATGATCTTAACCAGAGATCATCCTTCCATAATTTGGCTATCTGCTTCTGATACAGCTAAATGAAATCTTCTTCATATGCCTTACACACCTTCTGTCATAGTTCCTCCTCTGTTGAATGTTCAAACATCTTCCTACATTTAAGAAGGGTGCTCCTGACCTCCCTGTCAGAGACCTCCTTCTCGGCCTCATCATTCATATTGGTCACTTTCTCTTCCTCAAGGAAGGAAATTGTTGTGCAGGTTGAAGACCTCCAGAGCAGCTATGCTGGGGCTGCATACTGGTTCCAGCATCATTGGGTCTGGGTTGAGGAGTAGGCTCTCACTTGGGCTGCTCCTCCTTGACTCCTTCTCCTGCTGTTACTGCCACCATTGCTCTGCAATACTGGTGGAAGTTTTGATAGAATCTTGGCTGAAGAAAGAGAGCAGCAAAGTTTTCATTGAGGAACTGCTATATGTCACCCATGGAGTCGATGTGCTCTTCATCCCCTCTGACTGTCTCTCAGTCTGATGATATTCCATCTCTCCAGATGAGGATATCATCAGTCTCTGCAATAATGTCAGTCCTGTATGATAACAGGCAGTTATCATTGAGATCTGTTGTCTCCTTAGAGTGGAAGTCATTTGTATAGATGACTTCTGTGACTGGTCTTGTCCAGGAGTTGGGCTCAGTGGTGGGAGTGGCAGGTTCCCAGAATGGAGAGTTAGGAATGCTGTTAGTGGTTATACCAACAAGCATATCAGCAAGTTGGAAACTTCTAGAGCTCCTCCTCCTGTCTCATGCTTGGAGGTACCATCTGAAGAGGGCATTCTTCTGAGTGGCCTGGTGCCTGATATGTGCCTGCTCCTCGACATACTCAGCAAGAGATTGGAGAGATTAAATATCATCCTCTGAAATGACTGAGGTGATATCTGGGATTAGTTGTACTGGTTGTGATATCTCTGGATAGCATTCTGGTGGGCTTGCCATTCAGCCTCCTTCACTCTGTTCTAGTCAGCTAGCTTCTCTGGCTGTGGCTTGCCAGTACTAGAGCTCATTTCTGTTGTTGTCATCAAAGAATGGGTTAGGACTACTGACTCTAGTTCCTTCTCGGCCCAAACTTCTGCTTCATGCCAATATAGCACATTGGGATTCTGGGCCTGCAGTATTTCTGGTGCTTGAAGCCATCTGAATGGCATCAAGAGAGTCTCTAGCATAGCATCCAATGTCAGGCTCAGAGATAGTAGTCACTGTCCTTGTTGCAAAGATGTCATGCTCAGAGGATGGGATGAGAGTGTTGAGTCAAGGTCATCGAAACCCTGTAGCCCAAGGGTTTGCAGTGTCTCAGACAACTGCTGATAGAGGTTGTGGAGGATAGGTATGTTGCTGCTGCTGCTCCTCTTCTCTAATATTGTTGTGATTTTTCCTATTTTCTTTTCTTTTTTTCTCAGAAATAACCCCTATCTTTGCTTAATCAGGGTGCTTAGGCTAGCACTTAGGATCACAGAAAAGCTTAGTCAGCAGCCCAATTGGTCATGGTCTAATCGCACTGCTGTGTGCTGTGAAGGGAAAGACAATGCTCCTTTTATCACAGACTACAGTACAGTAGATAACAGCACAACAGCAAGACAACAGCTTTTGTGGAGAGCCTAACAACAGCAGGGGTAACAGCTCTACAAGAGACAATATCTTTGTGAAACACTTATTTATAGCCAGATAACAGAACAGTATTTAAGTAGTGCAGTTTTTGCTGTAATAGCTCTAGCTTCAAGCTAAAGTTTATTTTCTATCATTCTATCTCGAGCCACTTGCAAATGCCTTGATCACACACTGCTGATAGTGCATCAGTGAACTCTAACAGTATAACCTGAAGTGCAAGATTCTGTTAGTTTATCATGTGTTATTAGTCATATGGAGTTTGAGCTTAACAATTAGCTCGAAGCTTCTAGCTTCTCTTTCTCAAGCCCAATTGTGCTGAGAAACCAAATGCCCTCTGTCCTTAACCCTTCCAATTCAAACTTTACTCATGAGTTCTTCAAACTCTTAGCTTCTATCATTGGAATCTTGATCGGTCTATTGGTGATTATACAGCTGTGCTATAGATGCTAATCAATCATAGCTTGGACAATCAGACACTATCATGAATTCTAATGCATTCGAACTATCCTCTAAAATGTCACATCAGATCTCCCCCTCCATGACATTTCTGCCTCTGTCCAACAGTCCTTCCAACCTGCAGAAGGACCCAGCTCTGAAAATATCCCTGAGAGCTCGACTGAGAAACATCCTAAAAAAAAAGAGGAGCAGCACACATACTCCTCATGACCTCTGACAGCAGTCGTCTGAGATGCTGAAAACCCTTAGGCTACAGGGTTTCAATGACTTAGACCTGACACCCCCATTCTGTTCTCTCAGCACAGTATCCCAGCAATAAGGACAACAACCCCTATCCCTAGCACTGGCATTGGACACCATGCTAGAGACTCCTTGGATGCCCCATGGATGGCTTGAGGGACTGGAAATTCCAGGGGCCATAGATCCTGACAAACCATGTCAGCATGAAGCAGAAGTACTGACCACAGAGCAGGGGTCGATAATAACCCATACTGGAATGATGACAGTAATGAGCACCACTGGTGGCAAGCCACTGCCAACAAGGCTGACCGATTGGAGCATCACACAGTTAGCAGTAATTCTAGCTGAGCAGAGAGTGTATAAACAGTATCAGCAGGAACACAGCCAACTGACCCCACTACTATAGTCCTCCCCAGAGAGGACCAAATTTGATGTACCTATAATATTTCTGAGCACAGAGAGGAGCAGACAAACATTGACAATGAGATCACAAGGGAGAATGCCCTCTTTGAATGCTATCTCCAAGCATGAGCAGCAGAAGAGAGAAGGAGAAATGAGGGGAGTAGTCACATCAACACTCTCATTGAAACCACCACCCCCAACTCACCCTTCTGAGAACCTGCCATTCCCACCACTGAGCCCAATCTCTGAGCAGACTCTGACAAGGATCAGATGCAGCCTGATCTCAACAACAACTGCCTATTATCTTATGGGACCAATACTATTACAGAGACAGATAACATCCTGGTCAGAGGAAATGAGATATCAGACAGCAGAGGAACAATCAGGGGAGACAATGAAAGTATCAACCCCACCAGAGACCTCAAGAAGTTTCTCAACAGGAACTTCATGACCTTTTTCCTCAACCTAAGATTTTATAGGAACTTCTGCTGATATCACAGAGCAATGGCACTAGGAGCAGCAACAAGTGTTGAAGAGCCACCAGAACAGCCCAAGCAGCAGCCTACTCCTTGACCTGAACCTGATGATGCTAGACCCAGCATGCAGCCCCAGTATGGCCATCTCGGAGGTCTACAACCTGCATGACAGTTCTCTCCTCGAGGGGGACATAAGCAGCAAGACCACCAGCAGGAACATGGACAAAGAGGAAGAAGAGGATCATGACGAGGTAGTCAAGGGTCCTCCACCTAACTGGATCAGCTCTTAGAACATACACATGCATGAAGAGAAGCAGAAAGAATTGGCATGGGAGGTGCACCAGAAGGATTTCATGAAATTGTATCAGAATAGTGCAACTACCTTATGGATAGACAATATCTGGTTGGTATCACCTATAGGACAAAGATATACTGCTGCTGATTATATCAAGCAGGAGGAAATTTTACAATATGCAGCCACTAAGCAGGCCATTTTTATTTATAATAAAAGATATCTAGGACATCAAATGCAGGCATTACTGTCATACAGGCCAAAATACAACACTACCCCAAGGCCTTGGATGCTGAATGTCATGCCATCCAAGCCAGCTAACATGGCACTGACAATCCAAACTATGTCATCAAGATATTCATTTGTCACCTCTGCTATCTGCAGCATGGCATCTCAGCTCACTCAGAGCCACCCTCCACTGAGCCCTCATTATTCAAACCTATGGAGATTGCTGATCTAGCAACCATTTGCTGGACAACCACCACCAGATAAAGCTGAAGGCAGTAATAGACCCAAGGAGCCCATGCCAACAGAAGACAACCCTGTCACACTCACCCAAGGCTGGACCATCAAGAATGGTCAGATTGTACAGAAGACAGTTCTCCCACTGGAAAGTCCCATTGCTGATGATGATTCTCTCCATTCCTTTCCAGGGCCTCTAAGCAGATGGTCAGGACCACCTGCTGGCAGGTGGCCAAACCTGATGCCTGCCCTTGACATGGAAGCTCAAATCCTTAACATCAAACCCATCCTCATATCTGAGCCCTGACTCTTTTGGAGGGCCTCTGATATATCAATCAATTCTTAGTCAATTGTGACCAATACTTTCAAGTATTCACATCATACTTTCTTGCTGACATGTACAAGATGATGTTTGTGGCAACCCACATGGCTGATAAAGCAAAGACCTGGTGGATCCTGATTTCTTCAATGTTTTGGTCTACCACAAGGACCCATCACTGATATCCCTCATGATCAGTGTTCAAGCAAATGATTGTTGACAAATTTACAGACTCTGCCATCCAAGAAGTCCACAAACAAAAGATGAAGGACTTCTAAATAGTCAGCAAACTCGCTACTAATTACTTTGATGAATTGGAGCAACTCAGCAAACTCACTGGAGTCTGGGACGATGTTGCTGATTCTGGATGAATAGTTGAGTACATGAAGATGAGAGTCCCAGCCTCCTATCTTATCATCATTTCTGACATCGGACAAGGAATTCCCATCAAATATGATGAATGAAAGGTCCGAATTATCACTATGTACAAAGAATGACAATGACAGAAGATGAAATCAGCAACCCTATCATGGAGGGCATATAGAAACCAGGAACAAGGCCTGAAGCCTTCTGTTTCTACTATGACCTCATCCACCAAGCCTGGGGGCTCAACCCCAACTTCTTTCAGTGAGAAGCAAACCAGTATGAGCATGACATTTACTGGAACAGATCAGCCAATAGATGTGGATTGTCTCAAGAAAGAGGGAAAATGTTTCAATTGTGGCCAGAAAGGCTACATAGCATGAAACTGTCTCCAGAAGAAGAATAAACACATGTGGGAAGAAATTAAGATGCAAATCGCAGAGTTAATGAAGGAGGACCAAGATCTTGGGTCTGAAGCCAAGCCCAAGGAGGTAAAAGATGAGACCGAGCAGTAAGCAATTCTACTGACTCAGCTAAATTATTAACAAGTGAACTGTCATCTACAGCTGTAGACCAGACTGACATTACTTCTGTAGCTATATCACCTATGTCTAAATTATGCATGCATTCAAATATATCCAACAATACCACTTCTGCAACAGAATCATCTAAAGAATCGAAACAGGATATTCAACTGCTGATGTATGGCTGAACAAGGATAGAGAGTCCTAAAACTGGTAAGTCCTTACTAAAAGTTCACTAAACTAATACTTTAAAAGATACTCAATCACTAATGGGCTGAACAGGAGTAGAGGATCCTATTGGTTGGCTAAAACTATTTGATACCAAATGGACTTGGTGGGCTATCAAAGATGCCAGGAACAAAGAAGCAATGAAGGCTGTACTTAAGAATTGAGTACACAAGATCCAAGCTGAGGAAGTGATCAACAATATGATCACTGGAATATAAGCTGCCAAAAGATGTTGAGCCTTAGAATGGCTCAATGAGCTACATGGATCACAAAAATTTATCTGATGATCCAAATCTCCAGGACAAGACTTACTAGCCAAAGCCCAGATTGAAACATTAACATCTTGATCTATCTATGCAGTCATGGCCCTGATTGACAGTGGCTGCATGGAGAGTTCAATTAATCAAGCTTTCATCGAGAAGTATGAACTTCCCACTCAAGCTATGGCAGTACTGATTCCAGTCTATAATGCAGATGGGACAAAGAACCAAGCTGGATCAATCACCGAATATGTTGAGCTTAGGCTCACTATTGGCAATCATTCAGAACAAATCGACTTGGCAGTAACTGACTTAGAGACCAAAGAAATATTCTTTGGCTTTGATTGGCTGATTCGACACAATCTGCTAATTAATTGGAAAACTGGGTGCATCATTTTTGCTTGATGCCATTGTCAGAAGGTTCCATTTGAACTACCAGATGAAGACTCTGAAGACTAGTGGGATAAAGAAATGAAAGACAGTAAAACAATTCTTGCTATCAATTTCCAAAAGGCCATTAACATTCAGACAATACACCATGCTAATGACCTAGCAGCAAAGGCCAATGCTGAGAAGGAGAAGAAGATGTTTAAAGAACTGATATCTGAGTGGGCATGGGACTATCGAGACTTATTCAGAAAGAAAAGTTTTGATGAATTACCCAAACTAAAATCTTGGGACCACACCATTGAACTGATCCTCAATGCAAATGCCAACCTAGATTGCAAGTGTTATTCACTTAGCAACAATGAACAACAGGAGTTAGATAAGTTTCTTAAGGAAAGCTTATCCAGTGGAAGGATTTGATTATCAAAATCACCAATAGCATTGCCCTTCTTCTTTGTCAAAAAGAAGGATGGAAAGCTCTGACCAGTGCAGGATTATTGGAAGCTCAATGAGATGACAATCAAAAATCATTACCTACTCCCTTTAATTTCAGAGTTAATGGACAAACTCTGGAGCACCAGATATTACACCAAACTAGATGTTCAGTGGAGATATAATAATGTATGCATCAAAGAAGATGATGAGTGGAAGACTGCCTTTTGAACAAACTGAGGTTTGTTTAAACTGACAGTTATGTTCTTTGGACTTACAAACTTGCCCACCACATTCCAGTGGATGATGAATGATATCTTTAAAGATCTCATTGCCACTGGGAAGGTCACAATTTACTTGGACAATATTCTGATTATGTCTAAGACCAAGAAGGAGCACTGAAGGCTAGTATGATAAATACTAGCTTTAATAAGAAAACATCAACTTTTCCTCAAAACCGAGAAATGCGAATTTGAGGTATTAGAAACTGAATACCTCAGAGTCATTATTAGCAAAGAAAGCATCAGAATAGATCCCATCAAGATTACTGAAGTAACTGAGTGGCCAGAACCAACCAAGAAGAAGGAACTACAATCATTTTTAGGGTTCATCAACTTCTACTAATGGTTCATTCGAGACTACAGCAAAATAGTTCAACCTATGACACAATTAACCAGAAACTCCCCATGAACTTGGGAAATTTCACAACAAGCAGTGTTTAACAACCTCAAACACTGCCTAGCCAAAGATGTCATCCTAGCCATACTGAGTCAGGATGAGAAATTTAAAGTGAAAGCTGACTCCAGTGAAGATACAATTGGAGCAGTGCTCTCATAAGAACAGGATGGCAAATGGCAACCAGTCACCTTTATGTCAAAGGCACTCACCATGACTGAGCACAACTATGAAATCTATGACAAGGAACTTCTTGCCATAATGTTGGCACTTACTGAATGGCAGCATTATCTTATTAGAGCAGTTCAGACTTTTGAAATTTAGACAGATCATCAGAACCTGTGATATTTCTGACACCCCCAAAAACTTAATCACTGACAAGCCTGATGGGTCATGGAACTGTCACAGTATGAATATACATTACACCACAAGCTGGGTGCAACTAATAAGAAGGCCAATTTCCTTAGCCAAAGAGCTGACCATGACTAGGGAGGGGACGACAATAAAGAAGTTGTACTCCTACAGCCAGAACACTTTCATGCAATGATCATGCCAATGGAAGAGGAGATGCATAAACATATCAAAAGTGCCACTAGGGACCCCCACAAGTGGGATCAATGAATTGCTCCATCATTCAATCATAAATAGAGGCTAAAGAAAGAAGGAGGATTGATCAGATATGACAAGTGAATCTATATCCTAAGGGACCTGAGTCTCTGTGGTGATATCATTGCCACCTATCATGATCATGCACTGGCAGGACATTCTGGAATCACCAAGACAAAAGAATTAGTCTTGAGAGAGTATTAGTGGCCTAAGATAGACTATGATATCATCCAATATGTCAAAGCATGTGAGGTTTGCCAATGAGGCAAAACTTCAACATAGCCCAGAGCAGCTCCACTCCACCTGAATGAGATCTCTTCATTGCCATGGACTCACATCTTGGTAGATATGATAACCAGACTTTCCAAGAGTGATAGCTATGATACAATCATTGTTATAGTTGATCACTTCTCAAAAGTGATCATCCTGATCACCTGTTCAACAGAATTAACATTGGAGGGATGAGCTAAAGTCCTACAAGATGAGGTATATGCAAAATATGGCATGCCTCAAGTAGTGATTTCAGACAGAGGCCCACAATTCATATCCAAATTCTTGGATGACCTATACCAACTTCTCAATATTAAACAAAATGCATCAACAGCATATCACTCACAGATGGATGGTCAGACAGAATGGGCCAACCAGAAAATTGAAAAGTATCTTTGACTTTTCATTAACTACCAGCAAGATGATTGGATGGAATAGCTTGCACTAGCTGCTTTCCAACATAACAACAGGA